AATGAGCACTAACTACTTGTAGATCAAGGTTACCAGATAAAGTATTATGGTAATGTTTACATTTAGCGTCAGTACACAAAATAAAATGGCGTTATTCATTGTTAAATAAAAAATATAAATTAAGAATTGAATGCCGAAAAAATACACAATAATAATGACGTCATTGACAATAGATGTAAAAATATTATACGCCTAATTTAATTGTCTAAAAAAAGAGTTATATAGGGGTCTACATACTAAGCGTTAGTATCAGGATTAAGTTTGGTGTTATTAGGTGTATTATGTCAAGTTAATTTTTGGATCCTGTTAAAATGCCCATTCTGGATCAAAATCTGTTTTCAATTAAATTTTTTGTTTCTGGTTAAATTTGAAGTTAAGGTAGTTATTTTGGATTTGGTTTAGCTTTACAGAAAAAGACAACACTATCAACCTAGCGCCCGTTATATTTATCAACGGGTCATTTATCTAGCAGGTATATAGTTTACTGGTGCACAAACTGAACCGTGTACCAACATCACTGTGTTCAAATAATGATATCATTAAAATATGACATTCACACAAAAAACAAAACAAAATAAAAAATATCTACTACAAATCGGTAGGGACTCAGCTGTATTTTTTTCCGATAGCAGTTCAGAAATGCACATCTCACCTTGAGAGCTTTGTGCTCTTGTATTTTCCATCTCCATGTAGATTAAGGATGTGTTCACTTAGTTTTGGAGTTGCTAAAATATTTATACAAAGCTACAAAATTAGACATAATCTGTACTTGTGAAATTTAGTCAATATAATGGAAATAATATTCAAGCTATCGTGTTCACAGACAAACACACAAACTAAATAGTAACACTTTGTTTTTCCGACGCAAAATTAAGCGGTTTAAAACTAGTATTTTCACGATTACAATACTTTCTATAAAGGCCTACTCCGTATACGAGAAAGTATAAATAAAATTGTCTTTCAGAGATGACGGTTAATTGAGCCGAAAAGGAAAGAATGCATGTTCATCTGACACGGCTGCTTATAAAGTGATGATCCTTCACAAAATTCATCAGTAAGTATCAACAAGGTTACTGTATATGTTTCTACTTTTTAATAAAAATATAATGCACCTTTCCACTTGGTTTTTTAGTACCATTGTATTTGCTGGGTTAGAGAGTGGGTACAACATATTGTTTATAGGACATGACCAATGCAAACATTTTGGTACAGCTCCTCTGAAATTATATTGACATGTCCAATGCAAACATTTTGTTACAGCTCCTTGGAATTTTATATCGACATGACCAATGCAAACATGTTGGTACATCTCCTCTGAAGTTATATGGACATGATCAATGCAAACATTTTGGTACAGCTCCTCTGAAATTATATTGACATGTCCAATGCAAACATTTTGGTACAGCGCCTCGGAAGTTATATGGACATGACCAATGCAAACATTTTGTTACAGCTTCTCTGAAATTATATTGACATGACCAATGCAAACATTTTGGTACAGCTCCTCTGAAGTTATATGGACATGACCAATGCAAACATTTTGGTACAGCTCCTCTAAAATTATATAGACATGACCTATGCAAACACTTTGGTACAGCTCATCTGAAATTATAGGACATGACTAATGCAAACATTTTGGTACAGCTCCTCTGAAATTATATAGACATGACCTATGCAAACACTTTGGTACAGCTCATCTGAAATTATAGGACATGACTAATGCAAACATTTTGGTACAGCTCCTCTGAAATTATATTGACATGTCCAATGCAAACATTTTGGTACAGCTCCTCGGAATTCATATTGACATGTCCAATGCAAACATTTTGGTACAGCTCCACTAAAGTTATATGGACATGACCAATGCAAACATTTTGGTACAGCTCCTCTGAAATTTTATGGACATGACCAATGCAAACATTTTGGTACAGCTCCTCTGAAATTATATAGACATGACCAATGCAAACATTTTGGTACAGCTCCACTGAAGTTATATGGACATGACCAATGCAAACATTTTGGTACAGCTCCTCTGAAATTATATAGACATGACCAATGCAAACATTTTGGTACAGCGCCTCGGAAGTTATATGGACATGACCAATGCAAACATTTTGTTACAGCTTCTCTGAAATTATATTGACATGACCAATGCAAACATTTTGGTACAGCTCCTCTGAAGTTATATTGACATGACCAATGCAAACATTTTGGTACAGCTCCTCTAAAATTATATAGACATGACCTATGCAAACACTTTGGTACAGCTCATCTGAAATTATAGGACATGACTAATGCAAACATTTTGGTACAGCTCCTCTGAAATTATATTGACATGTCCAATGCAAACATTTTGGTACAGCTCCTCGGAATTCATATTGACATGTCCAATGCAAACATTTTGGTACAGCTCCACTAAAGTTATATGGACATGACCAATGCAAACATTTTGGTACAGCTCCTCTGAAATTTTATGGACATGACCAATGCAAACATTTTGGTACAGCTCCTCTGAAATTATATAGACATGACCAATGCAAACATTTTGGTACAGCTCCACTGAAGTTATATGGACATGACCAATACAAACATTTTGGTACAGCTCCTCTGAAATTATATGGACATGACCAATGCAAACATTTTGGTACAGCTCCTCCGCAATTATATGGACATGACCTATGCAAACATTTTGGTACAGCTCCTCTGCAATTATATGGACATGACCTATGCAAACATTTTGGTACAGCTCCTCTGCAATTATATGGACATGACCTATGCAAACATTTTGGTACAGCTCCTCTGAAATTATATGGACATAACCAATGCAAACATTTTGGTACAGCTCCTCTAAAATTATATTGACATGTCCAATGCAAACATTTTGGTACAGCTTCTCTGAAAGTATATGGACATGACTAATGCAAACAGCCAGTGAAAGCAACCTTTTCATTTGAAATTTGTTGGTGGCTTTCGTCTCCCATATCATTGGACTAAAACTGTCTTGGTGTGTAATTGGAATTTTCCAGACTTGTTCCTCTGAACTTATATAGACATGACCAATGCAAACATTTTGGTACAGCTCCACTGAAGTTATATGGACATGACCAATGCAAACATTTTGGTACAGCTCCTCTGAAATTATATGGACATGACCAATGCAAACATTTTGGTACAGCTCCTCTGCAATTATATGGACATGACCTATGCAAACATTTTGGTACAGCTCCTCTGCAATTATATGGACATGACCTATGCAAACATTTTGGTACAGCTCCTCTAAAATTATATTGACAGGTCCAATGCAAACATTTTGGTACAGCTTCTCTGAAAGTATATGGACATGACTAATGCAAACAGCCAGTGAAAGCAACCTTTTCATTTGAAATTTGTTGGTGGCTTTCGTCTCCCATATCATTGGACTAAAACTGTCTTGGTGTGTAATTGGAATTTTCCAGACTTGTTCCTACCCGTTCCTAGAACTCAAGTAATTTGACAAATCAGTGACTAGCCTACTTTTCAGCAGTTTCAAATGGAAAAATTGACAGTAGTTTTTCCTTTTTTATATTTTATTAAATTATTAGACCTATTAGATGTCTGTTTTCGAGAAGGCGTTATTTAAAGCATGTTATATTGAGAATTGATAAAAACCGTTTAAAAGTATCTTTCATTTTGTTTTCAGTGGATTGTTTTACTACGGTCTCTTGAAAGTACAATATTTTTACTTGTTTGATTTCTGCTTACTTTCATGTTATAATTTTACCAATCCAGCCCTAACTGAGGTAAAAAAAACCAGCCCTAAACTGTGTGAAGAAACCACTCCTAGCTGTGGTAAAGAAACCAGCCCTATCCGCGGGAAAGAAACCAGCCTTAATCGAGGTAAAGAAACCAGCCCTGAGGTAAAAAAAAAACCTAGCCCTAACTGTGGTAAAGAAACCAACCCTAACAGACCAAAAGCTACTACAGCTATTCTATTATGTTCAAATTCAATTTTATTTTAAGAAAATAAAGTCGCATTCTGTGGTCGGCGTGGTCGAGTCGGTAAAGCTCATGGTTGCTAAACCGAAAAGTCTCGAGTTCGAACCCTCGGGCAGATGAGGCTCGTTAGCTGGGGACAGCCACTCTTCTAGGAGAGACAACTCCAAAATTAAACAACTGCTGCCTTGTAGATTGTTCTTGGTTGGACAAAGGCTATGGAAGCAAATCCAAAAAGAAAAGCAGGCTGAAATCGGAGTCAATGGCCTCAATGGCGCATAACCAGTTGACACGTAACGCTTAATTGTGTTGGAGGCGTGGTCGAGTCGGCAAAAAGCTCATGGTTGATGCATTCGAACAGTCTCGAGTTCAAACCCACTGGCAGATAAATCTCGATTCCCTTCAACACTAATAATTAAGAACGAAGAAGAAGAAGAAGAAGAAGTCGCATTCTATTTTACTACATAACCTTCAGTAGAGATCTTAAGGCATTAAAATAATGACGGCGACAAAAGTTTGACAGATTTTTTTTTGTACGGATAGGTCCATGTGAGAAACAGACATTAGTTAAAGTATTATTTTCATCTGTCAAATTGTAAAGCTGTTACTCTTCTTCGCTCTTATCTTAATGCTCTTGTTGGAAGGGAAGTATTACGCGTAAACAAGTAAGCCAGCTTTTCTTTTTGGATTTGCTGCCAAGAACAAACTACAAGGCAGAAGTGAGTTAAATTTTAAGTTGCTCCTAGATGAGTTGCTGTCCACATCTATCGAGCCTCAATTACACGGGGGTTCGAACACGAGACTTTCGGTTCAGCAACAGTGAGCATTGAGGGACCAGACCACTAAAGCTGTTCAAATATGTCGGATATGTTGTCAAATTTATATGCACGTTTTACACTTACACAAATAGCTTCATCAGCAGTAGTTATTTTACTGAGCCTTTTTATAATATCCACCACAAACATAAAATGTACAGGTTACAACACACAATAGCTATGGCACAGAAGTGAATTACAATAAAGTCAAAATGAAAAGTTTTCTGATAAATATTTTATTCAAATCAAAACATTCTTCATTTTAAATCGTGCAAAACAATTCAATGACATTCATTAACAAAATAATGTTCATATTTACAGCCAAACTGATTAGATCTTCCAAAAGTAGAATAGAGAGAAAGAGACAGATTAAAATGACGATTAAAGCATGTAACGGAAACAAAGCATTTCAATCAATTTGTTAAAAGTGTATAAAATAAATTTAGAAGACATTAAATGCAGTGTACATGGGGCTATAGACGGGAAAAGTTCCGCCATTTTGTTTGTTTAAACTGTGTAAACAAGGGGAGAGAACTAACAGTTACATTAGTGAAAAAACTCCCCACTATAATTTCCTTCAGAATTTGATCCACTGTGGGGATGGCGATACAACAAGACATATCCCAGCCTGTAGACAGGTGCTCCACTGGAGCCTGGACATGTACATGTTGTGTACCAGTACCTGGTCCAGCCATCCCTCTCATGTTTGTGTGTCCATTTTCCTACAGAGACCTGTTTAGGACAGCCATGAGGATGTGACACTATAACGATCAACTTGTCCACATCGAAAAATCTCCCGTATTTGACCCATACCTCCTTACATAGATCATTAAAGCGCACACACATCTTTCCCAGTTCATCAACCAAATTTAAGTCACAAGTCACATATCTCAACTCACACATGTCTCTCCCAAGGTCTATCTCATCCAACACCTCCCAGCCATCAAGACTGACCATTGGACTTTGATTATCATCAAAACCTAAAACGCATTTGGTCTGTCTCGCCTCACTAGTATCAAACACCACGTGTGTGGCTGTCAACACATTAACCACCCCCCACTCTTTACTGGGTGTGGCAGAGACTTGACACTTGGTACAACGACAAGTGCCATTGTTATCTCTCTCTCTGTGTTTGTACACACTACACACCCTCCCCGTCCCTAACCTCATCACGTGACGTCCTCTGACATTATAAGATGGATATGGAAATTGAGTGTCTGGGTAAAATTCTGGTCTCTCTAGACTGGTGAATTTAGTCTTTACCTGGACAGTTAGGGCTGCCAATGTTTTGATTGTCTCATACATGAGCTCGTCGTCATAATAAGGTGAGGGGAGACAACCTGCGTTGAAATCTTTAAGAGGTATAAAATCTTTGTGACCTGGATTCTTTGTGCAGCCAGTAACATGTTTGTGTAGATCAGCTTCTCCTCCATAGCATACCTCAACTTCATGATTTCCTTCAGGAACAAAAACGTTTTTAGATATAAAAGCAAAGATACAAAAGAAATTAGTAAATGTTAAAAAGTTTTTACCATGTGAGTTTATTTAAGGCATGTTTTAGCGCAATTTCCATTCTGGAGAATTTTGTTTATTAACCCGTCATTTCTGGATGTATGAATGAATGGATGAATGTATGGATGTGTGTCCGCAGCTTTAAGTCGTATCTCCTCCTCAACGAAGCAATATCGAGGACTAGTTCTAAAAGCAATTATGTTAAGAAATGTACGAGGATGATAGTGGGCCAAAAAAATTCCGGAATTCCTTCCTGGATTTCCCTCAAAAGCCAAAAAACCTCGAAAAAATGCAGCTTTTGGCCCATATCTATCTCGGCAACCAGACCACTTAGCGACTTGAAACATTTACCAATCGATTCCTGCCATAAATTAGAACAATATTGCAGAAGAAAGTTTTCAAAAATATCCTTTCGTTCGGTCACACATTTTTTTTAAAACTTACATTATACATAATACACTACAGTACTATATAGCAATAGAGTTATATGACTAAAAACCATTGCGCGTCGACTGAACGTGATGGCGCAGCCATGGAACGTGATGACGCATCTATTGAACGTGATGACGCTTGTGGTGTGGTTGGATAACATAAGGAAATTGCGCTAAAATTGTCACTAGACTTTTTAATTAACTTGTTTTACTTTCTAGTCATACTTGACAGAGTGCAAACAAACTTAACAACTGATGGACCATATTAATAAATTATAGACTACTAATTAAATAACTATAAAGAAAAGAATGGATCACTTTAATCTATATATTGGATACCTTTTTGAATGTTTAGGAAGAGACCCACACTTTTCTTTATAGTTATTTAAATAGTAGTCTATAATTTATTTTCTACTTTTTAGTGCATTAGTAAATAAAAGCTTGTTATTTAAAACGTTTTTTATAAAAACTTTTTTTTAGTACTTTACATGTTTTTATTTTTAGTACTTTACACGTTTTTATTCACACTACAGTTTCATGACTAAAAACCATTGCGCGCATATTGAAACGTGATGGCGCAGCTATTGAACGTGATGCCGCGTGTAGTGTGGTTGGATAGACATGCCTACTAATTCGGTCCAAATTTTAATTAATTCATAAAAAATTCAAAAAAAATTCATTAGGCATCCAATTAAGTCAAATTTAATTTCAGATTGCATTGTCTTCATGTCTTGACCAACGTGACAAATGTGAATCGTATCGGTCAAGTAGAAGTGACCGCATTTTCACTCCTGCGTTTCGATCTAGAATGACGACTGACGACAGAGGAAGTGAGTTAAATAAAAGCTTGTAAAAAATTAATAAAAAACGTTTTAATAACAAGCTTTTATGTAATAATGCACTAAAAAGTAGAAAATAAATTATAGACTACTATTTAAATTACTATAAAGAAAAGCGTTGGTCACTTTAGTATCTATTAGATTCTTTTACTAATGTTAAGGAAGACACCCACGCTTTTCTTTATAGTTATTTAAATAGTAGTCTATAATTTATTTTCTACTTTTTAGTGCATTATTACATAAAAACTTGTTATTAAAACGTTTTTTATGAATTTTTTTTCAGTACATTACATGTTTTATTTACAATAGAGTTACATGCCTAAAAACCATTGTGCGCCTACTGAACGTGATGGCGCAGCCATTGAACGTGATGGCGCAGCTATTGAACGTGATGCCGCGTGTAGTGTGGTTGGATAGACATGCCTACTAATTCGGTCCAAATTTTAATTAATTCATAAAAAAATAATTAGGCATCCAATTAAGTCACATTTAATTTCAGATTGCATTATCTTCATGTCTTGACCCACGTGCCAAGTGTGTATGGTATCGATCAAGTAGAAGTGTGCGAATTTTCACTCCAGCGTTTCGATCTAGACAGACTGACGACAGAGGAAGCAAGTTAAATAAAAGCTTGTAAAATCCCTTGAATTATCATTTAATTACACATTTGCATTTTCAGGTTGTTTTTTAAAAAATAAAATAAAATTGTAATTAGACGTTTTGTATTAGATCTATGTATAAGTAAACCATCTTAGATGATGAAAGTAGGCTACAAGTAAAAAAGAAGTATTACTATAGTACATCTGTATCAGTTGTCACAAGCCGATGATGAAAACTGTAATACTAAAGCGAACATGCAAGGCAAACTGACGCTGTCAATAACATGTCTGAGACAAAAAATAGAAAAAGAAAAAAAAATGGACCACATTGGTAAGGAGATCTGAAGAACTTAAATTTATTTATTGACCACGTAGATAATATTATTAAGCTTATACAAAGTTATTTTAATAACTGATTTTAAAATAATAACTTTTTAAATACAGGTAAAGAAAATGACTTTAACATTTACTCTACAGGAAACGTCATAGATTTATTTTTGCATCATGTCATAACTATAGATAATCTGTCTTATCCTGACGCTATTTTTAACACAATTCCTCTTTCATTGAAACAAGATAAGTTAAAAAGCCTTAGTTGAAAACAAAAAGTTAAACTGTCACAGATAGTTAGAGATAGGAGAGAACTTATTACGATTAATCTGACCTTAAGAAATTAAACATCAGGTCATCGATCTGAATTTAATTTAGTTACAGTTTAAACTTTTACCTGGAAAAAAAATATCTGTCATCCTAGAATTTGCTGGATCTTTTTGGATTTTCTGTATGACCACATCTAAAATAAAAAAAAAATAAAAGCAAGAGCCATTCAAATAAAGGAACACAATTTCTTTTAGGAATTTAATATTTAATAAAAGACAATAAGGTAGTTACATTCAATATGACTTATAGATTTATTTTCTATAAACAATTGTTTTAAAACAATTTCATGCTTAAGCAACCACCACAGTCTTAAATTATTTACATCTGATTTGTGTGAGAGTTTATTCCTACACTACACACATTTGCACTAATTTCATAAAATTAACACATCTGACAAATTTCCGAAAAACATACATTTTACTTATAGGCAATGTCTCAACTTTCTCTTCTTTTGTAGCAGCATTTTCCATGTCTTGCAGAGCTGTGTCAGACAATTTAATAATTACTACATGATAATGTTAATTATTACAAGGTTAACATTTTTTATTCTAAAAGAATGTTGCAGCTACAAAAAGTAGCATATTTTGTTGGATGTCATTGCGATTCTTTAACTAATTGTTACGTTATCAATAGAAACGTATTCAGCTTAAAATACAGAATAGATAAGGAAAAAACAACTACAGCAAAGTAAAGTAATTACCTTTTATAGGGCCTATAACCAGAAGGTGAGGACAACAAGACAGTCTCTCTTGTCTATGCGGTATCTCTGGAAATGTTAAAAGAAATACAAGTCAAATATAAAGAAAATAGTCTTGTTGTAACACACAGGCAGGTAGAGCTGCAGTTAGTGGAGAAAAAACTTTGTTAGATTAATAAACTACTAACTAACAGTAAACTTAGCTATCACTTTTTATTGATTTAATTGTTTTTTTTTTAAAATTGTTTTAACTAACTCTTTATCGTTAATTCATTAGGAATCTCACACTTCAATACATTTTAAAAAAAATATTTTGAAACTTATATATCTCCCCCTAAAGGACCTACTAGATACGGAATAAAACCATGCTTGCCTAATACTCAAAATAATTTTAAGTCTTAGCTATTAGGCTTATATAAAACGTAGTTATTTGTTAAAATCTATTGACACAGTGGAACAAGCGGACAATGCACATTGTAGCCTGTCGTAATTGAAAATCTCCTTATTCTAAAAAAATGTGTATGTCTCATTAAATAATTAGCCATGTAGTTTGTGGAGGGAGGATATATGGAGTTTAAATGAGATTTTCTTGATCTAATCGGTCACACCTCGACTTTAAAGACATATTTAACCCGGGTACTGGCCAAAAACACCCCTTCTCCCACCCCTGTTAATTACCACACTGTCTTATACTCCGATGACAATACTTTTATAGTTCAAATTTGACCACAGTTATTTGGTTCAACTTCTACTTTTAATGTTCCGTGTGTATTTACAGTTGTAGTAAATATTGTTTGGACTTTAGTGGGATTGTTGTCGTCAGTGCGGACACAGGTTTTTGCTACATGGGCAACATCTGGCTTTTCTCATCTTACATCACAGGCCTTGCGTCTTAACTTCCAAACGCAGTTATCCAACTGTCTATTTGATTATGGAACCATTAGTATTTTAGTAGTAATAAGAAGTAGGTTAAATATTTTAGCACACTGATTTATTAATTTAAACAAATCAAATTTAGCAATAGAAATATACTATATCTATAATTATTATACGGCCATTTTAATAGACCACGATATAGTTTAGTTATGTCTACAATAAGACAAGCAAAAATTATTAGCAAGCTTAAATTATTGGAAAAAAGAAAACGACATAAAATGTGTAATATTGTCATAGTGTGAAACACGTATAAAAAGATTGAATGCTATTTAATCTATCACCACCAACCTTTGGTATTTAGCAGTAAACTTATTAAGTTAAAATGGCGACATGGATATTACAAGGTTTTACTTTAAATTTTACTTCCGTAATATAGGGCTTTCCCGATCTTAAATATTCGAAATAAATCTCTGAGAACCGGACTTTCCCGAAAAATATAATTACGCATTTTAGAACATTGTCGGTTTCAATCGCGATATTACTAAAATATTTATTCCATTTAGGCAGTGCGGGAGAGAGGTGTAGTCCAGTTAAAGTAATAAAGTACTGGGAAGTGTTCATAGCAAACAGGAAAATGCTTTTTTTTTTGCGGTGAATTGTGTGTTACAACACCTCTTGACACCAGGTCTAGTGATGTCATTCCATGTAGTTCTACATTTTAACGTATTAGTGTAGGTTAAAATGCTCAAACGGTAACAAAACACGACTCCTACATAAAGCCGCATAATTTATTTTACTTAAGATAAAGCTTTTATTAGATTGTTGTCATGGTCTATTATATTT